GCTGCCACATCGACCTGAGTGGCATCGTGGAGGAGGTGAAGGCCCAGTATGACGCCATCGCGGCTCGCAGCCTGGAGGAGGCTGAAGCGTACTCCCGGAGCCAGGTTGGGAGCTGACCGCAAGGGCAGGAGCACCAGGACAGTCCTCCCTGGGCCACAGCAGGGGCTGGACCAGGGCTGGCTGAGCCGCCTGCAGCTCTGTGTCCTGAGAGCCTAGGAGGGGTAGGGGGGAAGCAGGGCCTGGAGGGGTGGATGGGCAGGAGGCCACAGGAAGCAGGTATGGAGAATGGGAGAGCCCAGTGTCATGCCAGGCTCTGAGGGGCAGCCAGGAGGGAAGCCAGTCTATGCTTCCAGGAACCAGATGCCAGTACAGCCATGGGGCTTATCCAGGACAGGCAGGAGGGACCATCCAAACAGGGATGCAGTGGGGGCAGAGTAGGGGAGAGGGCTGCAGTTGAGAGTTACGGGGGAGGAGGGGATGGCAGGCAAAGGTGAGGACTCAGTGGGCTGGCAGGAACACAGCGTGCTACCCCTCACTGTGACCTCCCCAAACCCCTGCAGCTGGAGGAGCGGGCTGCCCGCTCTGCAGAGTTCGGAAACAGCCTCCAGAGCAGCCGCAGTGAGATCGCTGACCTCAATGTGCGTATCCAGAAGCTCAGATCCCAGATCCTGTCCATCAAGAGCCACGTGAGTGTCTGGAGGACCCGTGGGGCAGAGAGAGGAGCGGGGAGATGAACGTGTGCACAGATACACACATGTGCATGCACTTGCACACACTCGTGCATGCAGAAATCACAGGAGACTGAGTGACCCTGAGCATCTCTGTGCCTGTTTCCTCACCTGTCAGCTAGGACAGTGGCACCGCATCCTAAGGTGGTTATGAGGGTCATGTGAGTTTGCATGTAAAAGTGCTCTGTAACCTGGCCAGGGCTGCTGGAATATAAAAAAGCACCCCACCCCCCATGTACACCCAGAGCCTACTGCCCTTCTCCCAAGGCCTCCTGCCAACTGTATAGAAAGAAGGCAGTGGAGGCCTCAGTTCCCGCCTCCAGCCAGGACAAGCCTTCAGAGCAAGTGCTCCCTCTCAGGACAGCTGGGACAGGCTCCCCTAGTGGCTTATAACACCTACCTGGCCTTAGGAAAGTGTCTCTTTAGGTCTAACTGAACCTCTTTCTGCATTTCTACCCATTACCAAGCCTGGAAATGCCATTGCTTAGCCCTCTGTCCCCACACACCCCCACCAAGGACAGAGGTGACTCCTGGCCCTGTCCCACTCTCTCCCTCCTTCCCCTACTCACTGGCCCTCCCCTCTGCCCTCCTGGCTGCAGTGCCTGAAACTGGAGGAGAACATCAAGGCAGCCGAGGAGCAGGGGGAGCTGGCCTTCCAGGATGCCAAGGCCAAGCTGGCCCAGCTAGAGGCAGCCCTGCAGCAGGCCAAGCAGGACATGGCGCGGCAGCTGCGCGAGTACCAGGAGCTCATGAACACCAAGCTGGCCCTGGACATCGAGATCGCCACCTACCGCAAGCTGGTGGAGGGCGAGGAGAGCCGGTGAGGGGCAGTGGGGTAGGGGGCTGAAAGAGAGAGAGAGCTGATAGCCCCCCACAAAATCAGCTTTTTCCTTTACCATGACACAGTGAGCCTGAGGCCTGTGTGCAAATCCTGATTCAGTCATTTACAAACTGAGACCTTAGCCCAATCAATTAAATCCCGTTTCCCTATCTGGAAAATGGTCTGATCGTAAACACGGGTCGCCTGTGCCAGAGAAGATTAACAATTAGGCATGCAAGTGCCTACCAGAAATATGAGCTCAGTAATCTTAGCCACTTACAAAGGGGAGTGGGGACAGGGGCCCAGAGTGGACAAGTCAGTCAGCCAGGGTCACGCAGCCACAGCACCTAGGGCTGGCAGTGACAACCAGGAACTGCCCTCCACTTGCTGGTCTCAGGCCCCCAATCCCAGGGAACTCAAGCCTCCCCCATGACCCTTCTCCCACTGCCCAGGATGGACTTGCCCTCAACCACTGTGGTCAGCGCTATGCAGTCCAGATGTAGAACTGGTGAGTCTCCTTGCCCTGAGAACCCGGGATGGGGAAGGGGACAGGGCGCAGGGTGATCATGACTCTAACGGCATCATTTTAAGCAGCTCCCAAAACTCCAGCCCCTTCCCTCCCTCACCTATGTCTCCTGTAGCTGCCTCCAAGTCAGGACTCTCCATGGCCCCTTCTCGGAAGAAGAAGAAATGCAAAGGCCCCGTGATCAAAATCACCGAAATGTCAGAGAAGTACCTCTCGCAGGAGTCAGAGGCCTCAGAGTAAGGCAGCTGAGACCAGGAACTGCAGGTCACCCGCACGCAGCAGGAGGAACTTAAGCTAGGCTCCAGAAAGCAGCTTGGAGCCTCTAGGTTGGGAGGGGAGGCAAACCCGATTCTTAACTGAGAGGTGGAGGGTCCAACAAAGTGCCTGCTTGTGTGTGGGCTGCAGGGCTGGGACAGAAGTGTCCCCAGCTATCTAGAACCACTCCGCTCCAATTCAGCATCTCACAGTCCCTCCCTTCCAACCTCTGGCCAGAGGTTTTCCTGATGGGGTGAACTAGAATTTAGGGTCAGTTGTCTCCACCTCCTCACTCTTCTGCAGCTCTTCCTCTAAAGTAGGGCTCTGGGCTCTGACCAAGGTCTTTTTAACTCTTTTGCCCAGTATCTGCCCTAAACTCATTTCTCAAGCCTTGCCTTGCCTCTGCCTTGCAGCTGAGGCCAGTGCCCATACTCATCCAGCTCAGGCTGTGGGCAGGGTTGAGGAGGATGACTTGGGCCCCATCCCGAATCCGGAGCTCCTGGGTAGGCTTGAGTGCTGAGTACCCCCTCAGCCTGCCTGCTCCACTTGGGCTCCCCAGAGACCTGACAGTATTAGAGAGTAAGGAGAGGGTGGTCCTTGAGAGTTTGGAACCTGAACCCGGACTGCTGAGATCAGCCTGGACACCTGCACCACCCCCCTCCTTCTGTGGGCCCATCCCAGAATGTCATAGTCAGACCAGGACAGGCTGTCCCCAGCCAGCTCCCAGCACCTTCTCCAGAAGCTATTCTTGCCATGATCAACTCCTTGGGAGTGGAAGCCAGACCAAGAGGGAGAATTAGAATCTCCCTTCCCCCTCCCTCCATTCTGGGGTCCACCACCTAGCCTGGGATCTGAACTCTGTCCCGCCCCAGGTCTTTCCCAGCCTGAACACCCAGCTTTGGTGAACAGGCTTTGAAGACCCCAGCCCCACTTCCACAATGATACCCTGGGTCCATTTCCCATGAGCCCACTCCTCGGGGCCTCTATCTCTGCACTGGGCTGGCCAGCCTGGCCCTGCCTTCCTGTGTATTGACCAAGGACCCCTGAGGGCACATGCACACCCATGGGGTCATAGCTCCTTTTTTTCTGGCCCCTCTGGCCCCTTCCTGCCTCCTTGCCCCCTTTCCTGCCTCCTACAGGCCATGAAGAAAGCACAGTCCAGGCAGGTCTGAGAGCTTCTGAGCCCTTGAGGTTGGGCTGGGAAGCCCCAGTGATAGACTTAAAAAAACTAAACCAGAAAGAAAAGTTCTGCCTTCCTCAAGATCTGGGGTGGTAGGAATGCTCCTATTTCCTCCTCCTAGTGCTCTCTCTTTGGGGCTTGCAGGTCAATCCTAGCAGCTCCAGCCTCCCGCTCCACAAGCTGCTTCCCTTACTGCCCTCTCTTCTCCCCTACCTGCCCCTTGTCTCATTTCCTCTTCCAGCAGGACTTTCATTCATTCATCTCATTGCCCCTCCTAGGCCTCAAGCCCTCCAGACCCATAGGGGGCGCTGATGGGCTACTGACATTCAGGCCAGGGGAAATTGAGTCATGTCTGAAGTTCTCAGAGGGTGCTAATTGCTGCTTTATCTCGGTCTCTTTGTTGGCTTCCAAGGGAGCAGATACTCAGTGAGGGATACAAGATATATAAAGTATGTATTATTTTTCATAACTTATATGGCTTTTAACTTATTGCTTCCCGCCTATTTCTGTATAATCAGTGCTGTCATGTACTTTGTGGCTAGATGACACATGTTCCAGCCACCCCAGCTGACTGGCTGCCTATCTCCGGGCAAGGACACCTTCTCCCTGTCGAGGAGTGAATAAATATTGAGATCTGCCCATGGACAAAGCTGCATGTCTATTTTTCTCTGACTTCTCGGGACTGGTTAGTCACTGGTCAACCTGATGACCATAGGATGTTATGAATTCTTCAGTTACAGGGAATGGGGTCCAGGGATCTAGTTAAACCTTTAGACCAGTGTAGCTTGGACAGAACGGTTTCCTGCCCCCACCCCTCCAGTCCCACAAGAGGACTGTGCCAGTGGCGAGTCTCCTTCCAGCACCTCCTGATATGTGCAGGCACCACGTCTGCTGCTTAGCAAGCGTACACAGGGGCTGCCCCCAATGATGGCAGGCCTCCTTCTCCAGCACTTCTGCCTGACCGTGGGACTGGCACAGCTCAGAGATATTCTGATGGGTACAGGCCCAGTCCTGCCCCATCAAATTCCAAATAAGGACTGAGGACCTTCTCCAAGCCCAGCCCTGCAGTGTAACACCAAGACTGCTGTTCACCCTGCCACCACAAGAAGCTCACAGTCAGAGTGAGAGACAAGATAGCAGCTCCAGATAGCACCCCACACTTCCTCACCAAGTGGCCCAGTGGGGTCAGAGGTCCGAGACCAGAGGCTCATGGAGGAAGTGGGGCTTTAAGAGCACATGAAGGAGTTAGACAGGCTGAAAGAGGAACAGGTGTCTCAAGGAAAGGAGTCTTGAGGGGAAAGAGGGCCTCTGAAGCTTCCATGTCCTGACGCACACACTCACCAGCAATGAAACCTTGGGCAAATGGAGCCTGAGTTTCCTCGTCTATAGAAAAGAACATATACCTTCCCTACTTACCTCACAGCATTTGAGAGCTGATGAAATTCCTACCAAGAAGGCTACATCTCTTGCTTCCGGCACTCTGAACTGTGACAGCTCAACAAATGTGAAGGATTATTAGTGACATCGTCACTGTTATTACAGCAGATGATAAGGATTAAAGACAACCAACTAGTCGAGAGACTCAAATACAAGCAAAAATTCTCGTGCTAGCTCACTCTGGGCACAGCAGAGCCAGGCCCTGGGCCGGGAGCTTAGAGACTCGGGTTCCTCCATTCTCCCAAACACCCTGAGGGACGGGCTCCACTCTCAAAACTCAGGAGAAACTGATGGACACACCGCATGCCCATCTGCAAGAGGTCTAGAGCTGAGACTAGCTTGCTAAAGTTAGCTTTGCTTTCTACTTTATTAACTTCAGAGTAAGAATTAGAATTTCTGTATCTGAATATAAATTTCACGGTCAAAATTATGTTTTATTTGTTATTTCTACTTTTCTTGAGTTTTTTCATTTTATTCTTTTCCAACTTCTTGAGGTGCATGCTTTACTTTTCTAAATCTTTTCTAGCATGAGATTCTTTCAAGATTGGGACAGCCCCAGGGCCTAATGGTCAAGGGAACTGGAACCCACAGGCCACCCATGATTCAAATTCCAGACCAGGCTGTCTGAGAACCATACCGGGTACATGTGCATGTGTGCTCAGAATCCCAACAGGATGGAGGGGAAGGGGTTGTGGTGTGACCACACCCACAGTGTGGGGTTGCTTCTTCCCTCTTTTGCTCTCTCTTTGTCTCTCCATCTCTCCCTAGAGACTGCATGTGCCCTGTGGCAACTGAAGCAGGTGAAAAAAACTTCTTTGATGATCACAAATTTCCTTCAAATTACCATTCTGACTGTTTCCTGATGTTCCCATTTTTTGGCATTTTTATTATCATTTAGTTAAAATGATTCCATTGTTTGCCTCAGAAAGTACTTAGAAACTTCTGACGCCTAGGTAAGTCATTCATTTCACAAACATTTATTAAACACGTACTTAGTCTGAGCCTGGCCCTGCCTCAGATGCTTAGGGAGACATCAAATTCATAGACACGCATCTCTGGGCTCTCTGCTCCTCTCCTTAAGCAGGGCTTCAGTTGTTTGCTTTTCTTCTTTTATCCCAGAAAGCTCTGAGCTTTTGGAGGGCAGGGATCAGAGCCCACCGTAGCCCTAGGCACTGTGCCAGGCCCATAGTCGGTGTTCAATAAATATAAAATGAATGAAATAATGAATGATGTACCTTCCCAGCCAAGGTCTCCTAGCCTCTAATTTTCATAAAGGCAAGGAAATTCTTGTTGACCACCAGGTTCCCGGTTCTAACACAATGCCTGGCACATCAAAGGAGCGGAGGGTGTGTGCAGAGAAAACAACGCTTTTCCTCCTCAAAGGAGGAAACGCTCCCGCCCCTTGCTAGCTCGCAGGTCCTGACCCCTTCTTGAAAAGGCACAGTCTGCCCCTCTTTATACAGCCCTCCCTCACACTCTGCCCTCCTGAGTGACTCAGCGAACACTGGCTCAGGGTGACAGCACCGCTCTGGCTACAACAGAAATGTGCCCTCTGGGAGTTTGGGTCTTTCTTCTTTCATTAGTTGAGGCCTGGAGAGGCCAAGCTCTGTAACTTTGCTCACCCAGCAGATGAGAGAAAGCATTTTTTACATGCAGATTTCCTGCCATGGGGACAGGAAAAAAACTCACCCTAAGAGTTGGTGAAGTGGAGATTGAACCATGAAAAGCAGGCACCCTAGGGCCAGTGCCCAGAGGTCTTGTGCCAAGACTGGTGAGTCGGTGCCCTCAGAGCTCTGCAAAAACCGTCCTCCAAGGGAGACCTGTAGCCAGAACCCAAGGCTGGCCCTGTGTGCTGAGGGATAGCTGCACGACATGCCCCTTCTCCTCGTCTGTTCATACCAGGGAAAGTGGCAAGAGGGAAGGGTTCATGCTGGTGTTTGAGAAGTCCCAGGGACTGTTAACGGAGACTCCCACAGAAACAGAGACAGGAGAATCAGAGACACCTGCGCAGGGATCAAGCTCAAGGTACAGGGCCTGCAGAGCAGCTGAGAGAGGTTAATCAAAGAGGTCTTCCTGGAGGCAGGTGGGAAAGGGGTGCTGGGCTAGCAAAAAAGAAAGAAGTGAAGGGAGGGAGCAGAGTGGAGTAGGTTCGCTCCGCCTCCAGCCTGCTACCAGACAGGCCCAGGGAACGCCCGTGAGAACGGGAAGGCTACGGGAGCACAGTCTGGATGGTGGTAATTCCTGAACCCTCACCAAGACGTGTGCCAACTGGCGCAGGGACTGTGTCCTCACTGTGCACCCCAGTGTCCAGCACGGTGCCACACACACAGCAGTCCTCCCCAATGCGGGATAAACACAGGCGCGTGACAGGCAGGTGGCTGATCTGCTGAGCAATCGCAAAGGAAGCTATCACCGAGGACGTTCTAAACACCCACCGCGGATCTCATCCCGAGAGTGGCACAGAGGGAGGAAAAGGGGAACAAAGGGTTAAACAGGGCCCTGGCCTGGTGCAGGGTGGCCAGGATCTGGCTCACCTCTGTTGGGCCCCAGCCCCTTGTGTGTGGCCAGCCTCATGCCCTCTGTGGGGACGTTGGGCAGGACACGCTCCCCTCTGGAGTTGTTTCTTCATCTGTAAAACCAAGGGGTCAGACTGAGTGGTCCTGCAGACCCACCGAGGACAGCATCATGAAGCCCTGCTCATCCCCTCCCCAGTCACCAGCCCTCTGGCCACACTCCCCTCCCAAGCAGGCAGCGGGCAGGCATCGAGACTGTGGCCTATAGACAAATCCCGGTGCCAGCTGCGTGGTCTTGGGCAACCTCGAGATCCACAGGACCTGCCTCGCAGAGGGTTGCGAAGCTTTAAAGATAGGATGAGTGATCAAAGGCTTCGGCAGGGCGCCTGGCTCTTAGTAAGTGTGTACATACTAACTAGAATAGCACAAGCGCTGACCTCCGAGAGGCCTGCCCCTCCTCCAGGTGGGTAGAAGTCCACCCTTCACCCACCCAAGTAGTCTGGCTGGAGAAGCTGGGCAAGCATCCACCCCACCTGCCAGCCTCACCTGCCCCCTCAGCCCCAGCGGCGGCCAGGGCTCAGAGAGCTGCCTGGTGAGAGCTGAAGATTCCAGAGGGAAGTGGCCCAGCCCTTCCCCTTCCCTTTCAGAGCTGACTGCCCAGGTGGCATTCCATCAGGGGAAGGTGCCAGCACGCTCCTCAGTAACCACTGCCCCCTGCAGGCCGTAGCGAGACTTCCATGTGCCCTGGCTTCCTCAGGCCTAGGGAAGAGGGCAGAGTGAGAAAGCAGGTGGGGTAGTATTTCTAAGTGCTAAACCCGGATCCCTGCACTCCAAAGCTCAAACTTTAGACGTAAACTCCCAGAGGCCCCCAAGGCCGAGCCCCCAGAGCTGGAGTCGCAGACTGAGCCATCCCTCTCCCTCGTCTGAGCTCTCCTCCCCAGCGGCACAGGCTCAGCCCCTTCCACTGAGGGGGTTCTCACAGCCCAAGGGCCTTAGAGCACCTGACCCCACCCAGAATGCTCGCCCCACACTCCTATTCCAGATCGGGCTCCTTCTCATTTTTAAAGTCTTAACTGTCACGTCCTCATAGAGACCTTCCCCAAATGGCCATGTGAAAGAGTTCCCTTTGAGGGACTAGGCAGCAGTAAAGTACAGTCCTGCAAGGCTGACCCACTTGGGAAGCTGACCCACATGCAAGGTTCCTGTGATAGGTAGAGGCTGGGAAGAGTGATAGAGAGGGGTGGGTAGAGATGTTGGTTAATGAATCCGGAAGTACAGAAAGATGAGCGGTGCATGTTCTGGTATTAAATAGAACAGGAGAGGAACGACAGGCAATAATAATTTATTGTATATCCCAGATCAGCTAAAGGAGAAGACTGACTGCTCCCATCGAAGTCTCGAGACGATGGGTTACTAATCACTCTGATATACTAATAGCACATTCCACTGAAAAATCACCCCAAACCCCATAAATATGTACCATTATTATATGTCAATTTAGAAAAAAAAGCTGTGTGAGTTTGGTGGGTGTCAGCATCGCCACTCAACTTCTCCCAGGCCCAGCCCCCGCCCCCCCTCCCAACAGCACCTGTGCCAGCATCAGCTCAACTGCACCTCGAAGTTGGGCACCCTGATCCCGAGGAGGGTACGCCGCCTCCAAGGGCCAGGCATGGTGCAGGCCCTAGGATACAGCAGTGAACACAACCCATATCCCCACCACGTGGACTACGTTCTC